AGCAAATTCCTGCTTGATTTAACCTTCTAATCGTACTCCTACTCAGGTACATGGCAAAATCCCTTTATCCAAAGGGAAATTCTTCTCCCACAACCAGAAAACTACATTGGACTGCCAACTTGGATTCTGTAAGAGGTAGCTATGATGCATAATACATCACTTAACTGGTGTAAGCCATTATAGGTTAGTAATTTTAAAATTCAAGGTATTTAAGAAAGCTTCATCCTCCTTTACCCTGTAAGAACACCAAAATACCCAGACAAAGCCAGAGAACCCACCAAGACAGATATTTACAATACTTCTGTCTAGAAAGGATTATCCCTTTTTACCCTTGCTCTTCTTTCTGCCTCCAGCCGCTGCATGATGAGCATAGTATCCACATCGTCATCTTCCTCTTCATCATCATCTTCATCCTTTTGCTTTGACTCTTGAAGTCGCTTTTGGAACTGCCACTCGAGCATGAGTTTGCGGAGGCGGTCGTTCTCTTCTGCTGTACGATCGGGCTTGTTCTGCAGCTCCTGAATCTCTTTGCTCAGCATGTCCACAATGTGCATCTGTTGCTGCTTCTCCAGTTTCTCCTTAGCATCCCGCTTCCAGGGATCTGGGGAGAGGCTGTCACTTGAGGACAGTTCTTCCTTGCTGATAGTAATGTACTGCAGATCTCTGCGCTCAATAGTCCGAGGCTGCTGCTGGGGCTGCAGCTCACGAATGACTGTTTCTTGAGACCTCTGCAAAGTTGAAGGTTTTTCTGATTTCACTTGCTGAAGGGAAACAGGAGGAACCACAGGCTGAGCAGGAATTAGCGGCTGAGAACGCATTTGGCCCAGTTTTCTCTCCTGCTCACGACGTTTCCTTTCTCTTTCTTCTTCCAAACGTGCCTTTTCCTTTTCATACCACCTCTGATGCTCTTCTCTTTTTTTACGCTCAGCAGCGGCTACCTGGGAAGATGTTTGTGCTCCTGCCTGATTTGGAGGAGGAGGGGGAGGCAGAGGCAAATCCATTTGTAGTTCATCAAATTCAGCTGCATAATGCACTGGAGGAGGTGGCGGTGGAGGGGGAGGATCTGTTCTGATGGGCTGGGAAATGGCCACTGGAGTTGGCTGGCTGGTAGCTGGAGTTTTCCAGCGGCCAGGTCCACTTTTAGTTAAGCAAGAACCAGGCGAGACCGGTTTGGATGAATGGTTGAGGTGCTCTTGGCTAGATGTGCTGGAATCCACCGATGAATTCATCCACTGATCGCTGTCTGACTTCCGATCGATGTACTCTACATCCTTCCGTATGACAACTTCCAAACGATTCCTCTCTGGCTGGAAAACTTTATCTCGGAGTTCTTCCTGGGAACGAGCCACACGCTGGAAAAAATTAGACAAGGCATGTATTTCATAGTCTGCTGATATTAAAACATATTTGAAAATGGCTCACTCACTGCATTCTTATTACTGAAGGTAATTACTTCTAGTGAATTTCAGCTTTTCCATGCCTCGTAAGTTTCCCAACACCAACAATAAAATATTCTTCTCAGTCCTTTTAACACAATTCAAGTCATGGAAGACTGAGCAACCTCTGAAATGCCTGGAAACCTGGACTGGAAGGAAGGATAAACGCAAACTGGAGCTTAAGCTGAAAACCGCCCCAGCTTGCACAAATTCTCAGGACTATCCCTGACACCCCTTCCCCCACACGAGCACCAGTCCTGGCAGCTCGGAGCAGCAGCTCAGGCGCACCAGCTCTGCCATTCAGCCTTCAGCTGGCTTGAACGAACATTTTTCCTATTGGGAAGGCAAACAGAAAAGCTGCTGAGGAGGAGACAAGGAAGCTGCTGCCCGCCCTCCTCCATGAACAGGCGAGATGACCCACAGGAAGCTCTTGTTATCACAGCATCATTTGGGGTACTCAATCTGGGCAGTCAGGGCTCATTCCACCTGCTCTTGTGGCATGGGTGTACTGGTCTGTGCTTTGGCCACATTTTTTAGTGTGTCAAACACCCCAAGTTTTTTGGTTTGGTTTTTGTTGGTTTTTTTTAATACAAGCTCCGGATCTCACAGTGCTGTGCAACCTCCTGACAAGGAATACTGGACCATAAATTAGGCTTATCAAATCTGTTTATTATTTTCTTGAAGCAAATATTCATACTTTGAATGTTAGGAACTACGAAGCCCTGAACACGTAATGTACCAATTATCGACAACTGAGAGAAGACCAACAAAGCAAACTCCTTTTTTCCTCCATCAATGACCTTAACCATGACCTCTGAAGAATGCCTGCTTTGAGATGAACAAGCATATTTTTTATGCTCTATTAGTCCAGCAGAGCTGAACACACAGCTATTTGTGTTAGATTTGCTGTAAAGATGCACCTAGACAAACAGTTTGCTAATGCCTTCAGAACAGAAAACAGGCATTTCACATCAGTCAGTAGCTTATGGCAGCTTTGTTTACTAGCCCAGTACTCACTGTAAAGATTAAAAGGATATTTTTTTTTAAGTCTATTTTCCTCTAATTTCAACTTAAAAGAACTATTGTATGGCAGGGAAAAAGTGTATACTGTCAGTGCTTGTAGGGAGCTAAAGCTTCGAGCTGTTTGCTTTATGAAAATGCTTTTCTGCACTGCATTCAGCCTTAAGACCATAGCTCAAATTCTGTATCTGTCAACAACTCTAACAGATGGTGTTCATCTCACCACTTTTAACCAACTCGTCTAAGCTGCTCACTCAATTTGTCTCAAGTAGGTGAGAGATTCATGTCCAGGCAGTGATTAATCCCATTGAGACAAATGAGTAGGAACCATTCTCTGGGGATACTCGCCTCCCCTGCCCCATCATCTACAGAGACCCTAACTATGCAGCTAAGATCAAAAATTACAAAATGTGAAGGAGTTAAGCACAGAAATTGAGCAAAATATTTCCACAGCTATTTGCCACAGTCATTTACTTAATTCTTCTTTAAAATTATCATCATACTTTGGGTGTGACATCCATTTCCTTAACAATGGAAATAATTAGGATTTGGTATCTACAATACTGAAGAAAAAAAATAGAACTGCACTAAGCTTTTACCAAACTGACTTTTCACTGAATTAACTTGATGATACATGTGCAAGGAATCAATAATGAATCCATACTTTACTTCTATGGCACAATCTCAAGGTAATTTAGATGACGCTGCTTTTTCAAAAGTAAAACATACTAAGCCTGGTGTAAGGTTCTCCTTTTATCACAAGTTAAAAAATGGCAAAAAAGTTCTCTCTACATTTTTAAGTCTCTGGTGGATTAGAAAAAAATATGATCTAGTCACTGGATTTAGTAGATCTAGATTTAATTTCCTGGATGGATTTGAGTAAAGTCCTCATTTACAGAGAGCAGGAAAACATTTTTTAAATTTATAAATGTATGAGATGGAGAGATAAAGTCATTTCATGTCAAGAAGCATCTGCACTTGAATAATAGGAAAGTATCAATGCAAGCAGAAAAAATGGAACTTGAATATTATTGTGTTTTAACTGCAAGAAGGGAATGTGTTCCAGTGAAGATCTTGGATATGTCTCAAAATACTGTTTTATTTCATTTTTAATACTTCACTTTGTCACTTAAACATTGCACCCAGCACCTTCTTGGAAGAGTCAAAAAATTAGTTTGCTTTTCAGTAAGCCACAAAACATTCTACAGGACAAACCTACTAGGGGGTTAAAACTGCCCAGGTAAGAGATCTGAAGATATTGATAACATAAATTTAGGGTAGAGGAGGAAAAAGAAAGAGGAGGGGGAAAAAAAAAGAAAGAAAAGAGGAGTAAGGTTTCTGAACCCAGGCCAATTGTGGCAAAAGCACAGTTGTTCCCCCCTGTGGTATATTCTGTCCTCAACAGTGCAGAGATTTATAGAGTTGACTGTTCCACCAGTCTAGGAGTGGAAAGCAAGCAGGTTCTTTCTGGTTTGTTTGTTTTTCTTACACTGAAAGAAATCACTCTCTCACCTGCATTGTACTATTGACCGAATGATTACTTTCTGCCTGGATCTGTGGTTTTTCTTCATAATTTGGCCACTGACTTTGAGCTGGACCCATTCGATCCTGGGACTTTGAAGCTGGGAATGTGAAATATTCTCTGGTATAGGTCTGCGTTGGGATGGGATAAGCTTCAGGTCGTGGGGGCAGAGTCTGTTCCTGAAAAAGGTAGAAAGCATAAGGTAGAGTTTTCTAATCACACAGATCTCCATGGAATATTATTCTAAACATGCATTTTCCAGATGTTTTCTTTTGGCTCATAAGGGCATTATTTGTCCAAAAGAGGAGATAAACATGTTTAGTATCAAATACAAGTTGTGGTTATGACTCATGTTTTTCTGGTCTGAAAACAAGTATGCAATATTGCACAAACCTGAAAAATCACAAGGAAAACTTCATGCACAAAATTTAATAAAATCACTCACAGCTGTCTCGATCTTTCATTAGCTGTAATAAGCAAAACTCCCACACAGTCCAGTATTATATTCAAATAGTTAAGCGAGACACTGCTTTGACTCAAGCACACAGACATTACTGATAGTTAAGGACAGTTTAATAGACATCATTTTGCTTGCCACTTCTGACCTCTGTACAAAGATTTCCAGTAGAGACTGAGGTTATTTTGGTGGTAGTTCCAGATGCATAAGCATTCTTTCCCCCGGGACTTGGAGGCTGATCTGTTGGAAAGTTGAAGGAAGCATTTACATGACTGTTAATAGTAATTTAATAACTTAGTAAAATAATAGCATTCACAAAGTAACTATGACTTTTCCTTTGAATAGCTCTAACAAGAGACTTGCTCCAAATGTTACTACTATGTCAGCATTTTAAACTTAATCAGTTTTTAAAAACAATCATCCCCCTTTTCCATTCAATAGCCTCTAAAGCCAGCGGAGGAGGCACCTACCCCTGAAAGAAGGATAATCTTACTTACTTGCTACATTGGGACTGGAGCGATGATCAGCTCTGTTTTTCATTAACCTGTCATCCCCTGGCAACTTCTTTGGTTCGCTGTACTCCGTCCACGGCAGCTGAGGGCTCTCAGGTGACCCATTTTGAGTGGAGTTGTTATACAGCTCAAAGCCTTCACTCTTTGGTCGGGGTTTACCTGAGCCACGGCGGTCAGAAACTGTAACAGTTGGATATCTATTTTCCCCCTTCCACTCATATTAACTACTGTCTACCATATTCTTTTCCAAACTAGAGCTACCTTGCATTTATAATTAAGAATGAGTTCCTGGTAAAGCAAATACTACATTTAAAAAACTTTACTTCTTCACATACATAATCCCACTCTTGTATCAACTATACAGGATTCCTTTGGCCTGTATGCTTTGAAAAAGCTTTTGACAAGGTACCATAGTACCTGGAAAAGCCAAATGTGCTTTCCTGGAAAGTCTCTTGCTCACTCGAAGGCATATGGCATCTGGGATGGTGTTCTAAACTGCAATAATAGGGATTTATTCTTTTAACCCATTCTTTTCTATACTGTAGTACTACGCTATATGTAGAAAAGGTCTTCCTTTACACAATTATTTCCTTTACAATGTTATTTTACATAAGACATGTCTTTTGGAGTTAGTTCACTGAAGTAGGATGATAAAATTTAACACTGGAAAAACATCCAAGAACTTCTTATGATCAGACACAGAAACTTAAGAAGATACATTTCAATATTTCTAGTTTAAAAACAAAACAAAAAACCCCCCCAAACAATGGTGAAACATGTTCCAGGGACTTCTGTTTCTATTTATTTTCTCTTAGTAATTACACTGCACTCTCTAGTTACAAGGAAGTCATATTCCGAGAGGAGGAGAGCAGCTTTTAGGAAAGGGATAGAAAACCCATTGAAGTGTAATGCCCTTTGTATTCATTATATTCCATTTGTTAAAATAAAAAGTACTTCTAACCAGAACTGTGTATAAATGAATAATTTAATTTTTAGAAGCATTTTATGAATTATTAGACTAGCATAATTTCAAATAATATTTAAAACCTGATGAACTTTTTATAAAAAAGGAAATGCTTCTTTCTATGTAGTTGTTTCTTTTCTGATTTAATATTTTGTAATATTTGCAAGCTAATCTTAATTATTATATTTCCTGCATTCTAAGATTTATAAAGCTGTTATCCACATAAATAATATTAGCATTTTTACCTCTTTGCATCATTGGGGACGGCTGATTAAGCAGGGTTGCCAGACCATGGTAAATTGCTCCTTGTTTTGCTACTTCTAATGTTACTACAGAACCTGTCCTAGTCATAAGTTCTGCTGCCCTGCAATAAAAGCCAAAGAAAAGAAAACAAAATAAAATTAGGCACTGTATTACTTAGTTCTCCTTATTTTTAGTTTGTACGTCATGATTTCTTATGTGTATTCTAGTAGTCTTTTGCTTGACAAAAC